TTTGCCTGAAGATAGCTTAGTGATATTGTGAGGTCTTCTGTCTCAGCCCCTGGGTCTCTGCTGAAGACCTTAAGAGCAATGTTACCTAGAGAGGGGTAGGTTTGAGATGCTGCTTAGAATTTGAGCAACCCACGATTTCTTAGGCCGCCTACCACGAGCCCAGGCTGGAGAGGCTCACCTCATCTCACAGCCCACACAGGAAACAAATGGATGGCTCCAGATATGTGCTCTTTGGCTCTCACAGCATTATTTTCAAAATATGAGCTAGTTCCAATATTAAAAATGAGATAAGGCCGGGTGCGGTGGCTCACGCCTGTAATCCTAGCACTTTGGGTGGCTGAGGTGGGCAGATCACCTGAGGTCGGGAGTTCAAGACCAGCCTGACCAACATGCAGAAACTCCATCTCTATTAAAAATACAAAATTAGCCGGGCGTGGTAGTGCACACCTGTAATCCCAGCTACTCAGGAGGCTGAGGCAGGAGAATCACTTGAACCCAGGAGGTGGAGGTTGCAGTGAGCCAAGATCGCACCACTGCACTCCAGCCTGGGCAACAGAGCGAGACTCTGTCTCAAAAAAAAAAAAAAAAAAAAAAAGAGGTTATACAGGACTACAGATATTCCAGTTTCTCTTTAAAAAAGTAGCACTGGGCACAGTGACTGGCTCATGCCTGTAATCCCAGTCCTTTGGGAGGCTGAGGTGGGAGGATCGCCTGAGCCCATGAGTTTGAGATCTGCCTTAGCAACATAATGAGACCCGATCTCTATAAAGATATATATATATATATGTTTGTTTGTTTTTTTCAGACGGAGTCTCGCTCTGTCGCCCAGGCTGGAGTGCAGTGGCACAATCTCAGCTTACTTCAAGTTCCGCCTCCCGGGTTCACGCCATTCTCCTTCCTCAGCCTCCCAAGTAGCTGGGACTACAGGCGCCCGCCACCACACCCGGCTAATTTTTTGTATTTTTAGTAGAGACGGGGTTTCACTGTGTTAGCCAGGATGGTCTCGACCTCCTGACCTCATAATCCGCCCACCTCAGCCTCCCAAAGTGCTGGGATTACAAGTGTGAGCCACCATGCCCAGCCTAAAAAAGTATTTTTAAAATTAGCCAGGTGTAGGCTCAGCGTGGTGGCTCATGCCTGTAATCCCCGCACTTTTGGGAGGCCAAGGCGGGCAGATCACCTGAGGTTGGGAGTTTGAGACCAACCTGGCCAACATGCAGAAACCCCGTCTCTACTAAAAATACAAAAATTAGCTGGGCATGGTGGTGCATGTCTGTAATCCCAGCTACTCGGGAGGCTGAGACAGGAGAATCCCTTGAACCCAGGAGGCGGAGGTTGCAGTGAGCCGAGATCGTGCCATTGCACTCAAGTCTGGGCAACAAGAGTGAAACTCCGCCTCAAAAATAAATAAATAAATAAATAAATAAAAGCCAGGTGTAGTGGTGAGTGCCTGTGGTTCCAGCTACTCCAGAAGCTGAGGTGGGAGGATGACTTGAACCCACGAGTTCAAGACCAGCGTGGGGAACATAGCAAGACACCCCCCCCGCCCATCTCTATAAAAATAAAAAGATTAGCCAGGTGTAGTGGTATGTGCCTGTGGTCCCAGCTACTCTGGAGGCTGAGGTGGGAGGATCACCTGAGCCCAGGAGGTTGAAGCTGCAGTGAGCAGTGATCACACCACTGCACTCCAGCCTGGGTGACAGAGTGAGACCCTGTCTCAAACAAACAAACAAAAAAACCTCAGGACATCTGGCTACCATGGGCCAACATTCCATCTGGCAATAATTGGCAATCAGCTGGGGCTGGGTGGCCACTGTCCTCTTTACATGGGATCTGCTCTGCACTCTGCTTCGCTGTCACACGTTTCTTGATCATCTCCCGGCTAGCTTCCCTTGTTTGAAATTTTTGTCTGGTCTCTGTGGGTATTTGAGTTCCCAAAACTTGAGTGTCCATCAGAACTACCTGAGATTCTATTAAAATGCAGATTCTGCCAGGCGCGGAGGCTCAAAAAAATAAAAAAATAAAAAGCAGATTGCTGGGCCTCACCCAATTTGGAATGTCAGGGGTGGAGCCCAAGGGTTGAGTTTGCAACCCGTGCCTTACCTAACAGTGTGTTCCCAGGTCCCTGTGCCCAACAGGTGCTTTTTGGGCCCAGTAATGTCTGCTTCTACTCCTAGGCGTGGGTCTGTCAACATCTCTGTTTCTGTCTCTCTGCAGGCTGTCTCTCAAGGTGGTCTCTTCCGCTGCTAGCAACTCAAAAATCCCAACAGCACTCCCTATCCTTCCCCTGACCCCAGACCGCTGCCAAGCCTGTTCTCCCCCATTACAACATGGTCTCACTCAGGGCCTGGACTGCTCCAAAACTCACCCAGGTCTCCAGCTCTCTTCTACCACCCACCACCCTGGGCTCACTTTTGGATAGGAAATAAACTCTTTATTTTTGTAGTTGTTGGCTCTGGGTGTTTCTGGGGGTTAGTCTGAGAGCCCCAGGGCTTTGGAGGAGCCAACACAGCAATCATTCCCCACCCTCACCCCCGCTGCACCCCAGAGCCCTGTTGCTATCTTTAGGAAGGGCAGAGGCACCAGCCAATCTACTTGGCACCACATTCACACCACCAGGGGCCCGAGGGATGACGGAAAAACTTAATTAGTCACTATGGGCCTATTATACCCACTTCTCTCCCCTGCACAACAGTCACAGCCATATACACACACAGTATGTGGAAAGGATAGAGTCCTGACTTTGGCCCACCTCCAGCCTTGGAAAGGTGGGCCCAGGGGACTACCCATCCCTCCTATATAAGGAACTGTTCAAGAGCTGGGTATGGCAAGGGGGCTGGAGGAAGAGCTTGTCACCAGCCAGAACCTGCTAGGAATCCCTCTCTGTCCCATCCCCTCTGTCCTCCCAACAAGCCCTCTCTTCCCTCTTCCTTTTCACCTCTCATGATCACTGGCGTGGAAGGGGGTCTTGTGTGTTACGGATGTAAGAAAGAGACGCCCTGGTGACTAGATGGAACTAGATGTGGGCACAGTTTTGTGGCAGGTTGTCCAAGGCAGGTAAATTCTCCAGCTGAGGCTCCAAGATATGCCTGGTGTTGGCCAGTGTTATAGGCACAATGGCCACAGCTGTCCCCGGTGACCCTTGATTCCACACAGGTTTTCAGTAGTGTCCCTGGAGGGTGAGATGCAAAAGAAGAGGAGGTACTGGTCTGTGTTGAGAGGTAAGGGTGGGAGGAATCAGGAGCGGGCCCCATCCATATTGAGACGAGTAGAAGAAACAAATATTCCTGATCCATATGGGGGGGTGCAGAGTGGGGGTGGTTCTAGTCTTTATTTGCAGATGGAGAGGGCCCAGGCAGAGATTGTCCAGCTCTGTATTCCGTGTCAGAGAGAACAGCTGACCCTGGCTGGGAGCAGGGGAAGGCAGAGATGGTCTTTGTGCTGGCCCCCGCACACACCAAGTAGGAGGTGGTGGCAGAAGCTCTCCGTTTGATCTCATCCAGCATCCTGTAGAGAACCCTTCCTACAGCGCTTTCATCGCCTTCCCCATCACAGACGCCTCCAGCAATCGGGCTTCCCAAGCTGACTTGGCCGGAAAGTGCAGACAGGGGCTTCTCCAGATCGGCAAGTTCAAAGGACTGAGGCCTCGCATGCATATTCATTCGCACCATGTTTCTTCTTTCCCAATTCTGCACACACAGTCCTCTGCCTTCTTCCAGCGCTCCACCACCCGCCTTCCCTCGGGGCGTCCGGAACCGGCGGTGACCGGGTGGCAGGCTTGGCCTTAAAAAGTTCCCGGCCAGGCCGGGCGCGCGGTGGCTCAAGCCTGTAATCCCAGCACTTTGGGAGGCCGAGACGGGTGGATCACGAGGTCAGGAGATCGAGACTATCCTGGCTAACATGGTGAAACCCCGTCTCTACTAAAAAATGCAAAAAACTAGCCGGGCGAGGTGGTGGGCGCCTGTAGTCCCAGCTACTCGGGAGGCTGAGGCCGGAGAATGGCGTGAACCCAGGAGGCGGAGCTTGTAGTGAGCTGAGATCCAGCCTGGGCGACAGAGCGAGACTCCGTCTCAAAAAAAAAAAAAACATACAGTTCTTTTTGATTATCTGCCTTGGCGTCACTGCACTTCCTGGAAGAATCTAGACAGCAGCAGTGGCGGCGGTGGCAGCAACCTCCAAAAAGTTCCAGCCTTCAGGCCGGCGCTGCGATAACTCAGCCTGTAATCCACGCTTCGCCGGGGCGGCGATTGGTCGGTCAGTCCATTATCACCAGCTAACGACGAAACCAGTCTCTGCTAAAATGCCAAAGCGCGCGGCGAAATTCACGACAGAGCCTCAGCGATACCGCTGCCGGGACTGAGGCAAGCCAGCTGCAGCCAGGGCGAGCTTGTGTTTGACAGAGGATCAGCCTGGTGACAGGCAGAATCCGTCTCAAAAAAAAAAAAAAGTAAAAAAAAAAAAAAAAAAAAAAAAAAAAAAAAAGTTCCCGGCCATAGGCTGGGCGCAGTGGCTCAGGCCTGTAATCTCAGCACTTTGAGAGGCCGAAGAGGGTGGATCACCTGAGGTCAGCAGTTCGAGACCAGCCTGGCCAACATGGTGAAACCCCGTCTCTACTAAAAATACAAAAATTAGCCGGGCGTGGTGGTGCGTGCCTGTAATCCCAGCTACTCGGGAGGCTGAGGCAGGAGAATCGCTTGAACCCGGGAGTCGGAGGTTGCAGTGAGCCGAGATCGCGCCACTGCAATCCAGCCTGGGCGACAGAGTGAGACTCCGCCTCAAAAAAAAAAAAAAAGTTCCCGGCCGGGCTCGGCCTTGTAGTCAGCCGGCTCCAGCCTAAGCCCAAGTCCCAGGCAGCCACGGACTCCTCCCATCGCCACGAACTACAAGTCCCGCCATCCCTCGCGCGCGCCCTCTCGCCACTCCCGCGTTCCTACCGGCGCCGCTGGGTAGGTCGGCCAAGAGTGCCTCCCATTGGTTTCTCCGCCCTGTCAATCACCTGGGAGTATTGAGGGGCGGGGCGGAGGTGGAGATCCGGATCCGGAGCGGCTGAAAGGCGGAAGTGGAGGCCGGAGCCTGGGACACCGCCGGGGGGGAGAGAAGCAGAGCCCGTCCGAGCCCCGGCCCCAAGTAACGCCGCCGCCCCGGAGCCGCCGTGAGTATGCCTGTCCCAGGACCTGGTGTCTCGCCTGCGCTGAAGCATCTCCAGGGCAGCCCTTCCTCCCGCCCAGCCCCAGTTGAGGGGGATACTGACCCCTCCCCCGACCCGTAGCCCCCTCTTGAGGGGTTCCCCAGGCGTCGGGCCGCAGGAGATGGGGAGCTTCTTTCCTTAGCTTACCTACCTTTCGTGAGCCTTAAGGAAACCGCTATGACTGTCCTCTGGCCTGTCCATTCCAGTTGTGGGAGAGAGGTGCCTAAGTTCCGCTCCCCCTACTCCCAGAATCGGAGGATCTTTGCCAGGTGTGAAGGAACCTGTCCCTCTTTTCTTTTAGAAGTGACGGAGAGTGCTGTCTGTCGCCGTTTTCCTTCCTGCTGGCCCACAAAACCAGTTGTCCCCTCCAGCCCTAGAGGAATATCTCGATTTCCTTTGGGGGAGGGGGTCGTCTGGGTGAGACCGTTCCACACGCACAGAAGTGTGTTGGCGCTCCCGCAACTCCTTACTTCCTCTCTTTCCTCAAGCCGGAGAACCAACCAGGACCTCAGCAGAGTTTAAAGTTTGGGTCACTTACTGGCAATGAGCTGTTTTCTTGCTTTGCCCCTTCTGTCTCCCAGCCCCTGTTCTCTAGTTATGTTGTTCTCTGAGTGTCTCTCTCTTCCTGACTCTGAAGAATTTAGCTGAGGTTTGCTCAATTCTAGCTATAGATCACAGATCAGGGTGGATGTGCCCATTCATTATCTTCTTTCCTCTCCCCCCTTGCTCCAGGCTCAGCTCTGTCCTCCCAGAGCACATGAGTGGTTTCCAAGCCGCCTCAAAGGGACTGCTTCTTTTGGGACTGCTGTCCGTGTGTCTATAGGGAGGAGAATAAGACCCAAAATGAGGAGTCTGGAATTGAAGGGCTATCTCTTTCCCACTCCCAAACACACACACACCCCCCACGCTGAGCAACAGGTCCATGGCACGCCAGGGTCTGTCTCCAGTCCCTTCTGGGCTTGGACTTATTATTGAGGACTAAGTCAAGATCACAATGGCAGTTCAGAATTTTTAACTGTAGCCCAAGGAATTCCCATACATGCCAGAAAGTGCAGGTTCCCTCAAGCATATTGACTATGATCCTTGTCTGTTGCTTGGGGCTTTGGTGTGTGAAATAGCTGCTGTCTCAGACCAAGCTTTGTTATGTGGCCAAAGTACAGGCCGGAGACTGTACCTTAATGAGGAGTAACCTGCCTCTGAGGCCATGACCGATCCTTGCTATCTACAGTGAAGGAAGGGACAGAAAGCCATGCAGTTTGTGGGAACTTCTGTAGCACTTCAGTGTTCTGGGCTACCTTTACCACCCAAGTGTTCTGGGGTACCTTTACCACCCTTGCGTGCCACTTAAAAGTGCTGTCTTTTGACCTTGAGGTGTGTTTGAGTGCTTCTGGACAGCAGCTAGTGTCTGATTCCTACATTCTTTTGAGTAGACCTAGGATGTACTTATTTCACTTTTTTGTTTGTTTGTTTTCGAGATGGAGTCTTGCTCTATCCTCCAGGCTGGAGGAGTGCAGTGGCGTGATCCCGGCTCACTGCAACCTCTGCCTCCTGGGTTCAAGTGATTCTCCTGCCTCAGCCTCCCAAGTGTCTGGGATTAACAGGCATCCACCACCACGCCTTACTAATTTTTGTATTTTTAGTAGAGAAGGAGTGTCACCATGTTGGCCAGGCTGGTCTGGAACTCCTGACTTCAGGTGATCCACCCACCTCAGCCTCCCAAAGTGCTGGGATTACAGGTGTGAGTCACTGTGTGCGGCCTGCTTATTTCACTTTTTATTGGACAACAGAAGAAGCTTTCGTTATTAGGGTCAACAGCTGGATCACAAGCTCTGTATCTGTGTGGGTTCCTTTGGGACTCATTGGAGACTTCTTCAGCCAATCTAGTTTCTCTGATCTGGTCAGCCTGGGCATCTGAGCGGCAGGGCCAGAGAGGCCTGACTGCTCACTGGCCATTGGTCTCTGACCAGACTTACGTCTTCAGGAGTAGAACGCAGTTTGTCACTCTTCATGAGTGCTGGGATGAGGCCGACCAGGCTTCTGAGGAGATCTTCTTTCCTTTATCTGGACATGGTCTCCCAGCTCTGACTCTGAAACGAATTTTTTTTTTTTTTTTTTTTTTTAAGACAGAACTTTGTTTGTTGCCCAGACTGGAGTGCAGTGGCGCAGTCTTGGCTCACTGCAGCCTCCACCTCCTGAGATCAAGGGATTCTCCTGCCTCAGCCTCCTAAGTAGCTGGGATTATAGGCATGCGCCACCATGCCCAGCTAATTTTTGTATTTTTAGTAGCAGCAGGGTTTCACCATGTTGGCCACACTGGTCTGGAACTCCTGACCTCAGGTGATCCACCCACCTGAGCCTCCCAAAGTGCTAGGATTACAGGTGTGAGCCACCACACCCGACCTGAAATGACTTTTGAAGGGGAAGCTCTGCCATTTAGAGAGACGAGGAAGGCCTCAGTGCTTTGGGTCATTATGCAGCCACTTCTGGCATCCAGAAATTATAGAGTCCAAGGAGAGGTCTCACTCTGCCTATTAGAAAGCGATGGCTCCATGTGCACCAGAAACCCTTCCTTTCTGATGCTGTTGCTCTCCTGCCCTCTTGCCTCTCACAATTAGTGGACTGTTAAACTGTAGAGGGGCTGTAACACTAATTTTTTAAAAATCATTTTAAAGTTGCAAAGTTATTTTCATACATATTCCTCATAGGTGCCCTGGGAAATACTGGGATTTGTTTCCCCACTTTGTTTTTAATTTTTATTATTACTTTTTTTTTTTTTTTTTTTGAGTAAGATAAGGCAAATATGTGTCCCTGCTTTAGAGGGGATGCAGAAGGAACTTAAGTAGTTTGCCTGAGATCATACATTTAGAAAGTGGTAGAGCTAGGGCTTGGATTTGGGGTCAGATGTGGCCTGATCTTCTTTTTTTTTTTTTTTTTTTTGAGACGGAGTCTCGCTCTGTCGCCCAGGCTGGAGTGCAGTGGCGCAATCTCGGCTCACTGCAAGCTCCGCCTCCCGGGTTCACACCATTCTCCTGCCTCAGCCTCCCGAGTAGCTGGGACTACAGGCGCCCGCCACTGTGCCCGGCTAATTTTTTCTATTTTTAGTAGAGACGGGGTTTCACCATGGTCTCGATCTCCTGACCTTGTGATCCGCCCACCTCGGCCTCTCAAAGTGCTGGGATTACAGGCGTGAGCCACCGCGCCCGGCCTGTGGCCTGATCTTCTAACAGTGGGCCCTTCTTCCGCCTGGTTTGTTTGTTAAATGAATGAACATGCAGGGTGAGCGCGCCGTGGCACAAGGGCAGACTCTTAACCCTTTAGCCCTCCTCATCACTGGTGTTCCTCTGTTTTCGTTTTCTTCCCCAGCCTCTACCCAACCTCCTGTCTTCTCTCTTGACCCCCTTCTCCTCTGCCTGTGAGGACCAAGACAGTTAGAAGTCCCAAGTCAGGCTGGGCGCGGTGGCTCAAGCCTGTAATCCCAGCACTTTGGGAGGCCGAGACGGGCGGATCATGAGGTCAGGAGATCGAGACCATCCTGGCTAACACCTGAAACCCCGTCTCTACTGAAAAATACAAAAAACTAGCCGGGTGAGGTGGCGGGCGCCTGTAGTCCCAGCTACTCGGGAGGCTGAGGCAGGAGAATGGCGTGAACCCGGGAGGCAGAGCTTGCAGTGAGCTGAGATCCGGCCACTGCACTCCAGCCTGGGCAACAGAGCGAGACTCTGTCTCAAAAAAAAAAAAAAAAAAAGAAAGAAGTCCCAAGTCGGTACTCTTCAGGGCCTGAGAGTTTGCTGACATCTATGTGTCATTAATTTTTTGGGGAACCTGAAAGTCTTAATGGCTAGAAAATGAAAGTCAAAGCGAGTGAACTCAGGGGTCCCACTGGGCAGGGTTAAGAGGGAAGCAGCAGAGCGGGCCTCTGGTTAGTCCTCTTTCCCCTGTGCTGCTGCCTGCTGCTTACAAGTGGGAAGAATGCGGCTTGCCACCAGGAGCTCCTGTCACTAGAATTTACATGGAAACAGAGCAAGATCACACATTTAAATTCAGCCCCACCAAGCAAGTACTTCTCAGACCTTCTACTTTTTTTTTTTTTTTTGAGGCGGAGTCTCGCTCTGTCGCCAGGCTGGAGTGCAGTGGTGCAATCTTGGCTCACTGCAAGCTCCGCCTCCCAGGTTCATGCCGTTCTCCTGCCTCAGCCTCCCCAGTAGCTGGGACTACAGGTGCCCGCCACCATGCTCGGCTAATTTTTTTGTATTTTTAGTAGAGATGGAGTTTCACCGTGTTAGCCAGGATGGTCTCGATCTCCTGACCTTGTGATCTGCCCACCTCGGCCTCCCGAAGTGCTGGGATTACAGGTGTGAGCCACTGCACCCAGCCAGACCTTCTGCTTCTAGCCCTTGCCCAGTAAACAGGCCATGTGGTCGGGTGGAAGGCACTAGAACTTCAGAGGCAATTGGACCTGAGTTCTAATCCTGATTTCCCCACTTACCAGTTGTGTGACCTTGGGCTTGTTACTTGACCTCACTGAGCCTATGTTTCTTCTGGTAAAATGGCGATGCTAAATACCTTGGAGAATTAGAAACAAAGAAAGGAGCTAGTCGAGTGCTGGCACAGACTAGATCCCTACAAAACAGCAGTTGCCTCTGATTGGTAGGTAAGGGTTTGAAGGTTCTTTTTTTTTTTTTTTTTTTTTTTTTGAGACAGTCTCATTCTGTCGCCCAGGCTCACTGCAACCTCTGCCACCTAGGTTCGAGTGATTCTCCTGCCTCAGCCTCCTGAGTAGCTGGGATTACAGGCACCTGCCATCATGCCCGGCTGATTTTTTTTTTTGTATTCTTGTAGAGATGGGGTTTGACCACGTCGACTGGGCTGGTCTCAAACTCCTGACCTCAGGTGAGGTGATCTGCCTGCCTCGTTGGCCTCCCAAAGTGCTGGGATTAGAAGCATGAGCCACCTTGCCTGGCCAA